TGGCACCCTTCACAGATTTGAAGAAATGGAAGAGAAGAGGCATGAGAGGGAGTTACAATTTCGACTTGAAATGAGAAGAGAAGAAAGAGAGCATGAATTACAATGACGATGCAAATGAGAGGCTGTAACTCTCAATGGCAACTCCAGGGCAGCAGGAATCTGAATATTCTTTTGATAGACAAACTTATTATCCTTTGTAAACTTGAGTCCAAACTCCAGATGAAGAAAGATAACATCCCGAGAGGGGGCAGTAAAGTTACCATTGTTTAATTTAGTTATCACTGAAGCACGTCAACCTATCAATTGGCTCGTTAGTGGGAGATGGCCAGTCACTAGAAGCATTGGTGAACAGCTTTGTCAGTGCTGATTGCCCTGCATCCCACTCACCACTTAAGAGCCTGTTCACAAGCAACAAAAAGAAGAATGGTTGTTGTTCTTATTATACATATATTTTTGTTTAATCAAGCATTTATTCGTTGAGTTACCTGGGAACAACCAAAGAGCTGTTTATTCTTTTGAACTTCAATGGGTGGTTTGATTGTTGTAAATTAAAACAAACAAGCATTATGAGTATCTTGCAAAACTAAACTAGACAGGTTCTATTTCTGTAATATTTCATTACCTCATGAAATAAATATAACGCAATGCTTTTTAGTGGTGACCATTGTTGGTAACATTTTATTTTAGTCTCTTCCAACATAGCAATGTAAAGAAATGTCACTAATCTCCAGGCAAAAACAAAACAACAACAACAACAGTTCAGCTGTTGTTTAGTGTTAACACAACATTTCTTTTATGGTGACCATCACTGGTAACATTTACCAATAGCTGGGTCTCTTCTAACATAGTAACATGAAGATATGTCACTGATCTCCAGTTAAATAAAAACAACAGTTAGCTGTTGTTTAGTTAATTTTTAAAAGTGCAATGACAATAGCTGGAAGTCTACTCCAATTCCAAGTTTTGGCCTTTGGGTGACATAAAAAAAGCAGCAAGAGTGTCTCTTACATCAGATCCAGGCAGTTCGTCAATTGGTCCATCCTGGATTACTTCCTCCTCAGGCTGTTCAAAACCTTCTCGTAACCACTCTACAAAATATGGTTCCTTTCTCATCTCACAGATGTTATGAATCACACAAGCAGCTGCTACTACCTCGACTGCTCCATCAACCTCCATATCCAGGCGCTTAGAGAATCTTGGAAACCTTCCTTTCCAGCGTCCGAAGGTATTCTCAACTGTCATCTTGGTTCTACTGAGACCATAATTAAAAACGTCTCTGAATCCTGGGGGTATTAACATTCTCTCGGCTACTTAAAAGTAGCCAATTTAACATGGGGTAGGCTGGATCTCCCAAGATAACCGGATGAATTTTTATTGCCCCAAAATTTCCTCTTTCACATCTGGTGGAATAACCTTCCACTACACCCCAGAGAAAACAGCTGTGAGTTCGAAAAGACCCTTGCATCATGTACACTTCCTGGCCACCCTACAACAATATCACGGAATAGGTAATTACTGTTAACAAGAGCTTGCATCACAATGCTGTGGTACGATTTTCTGTTGTTGTAACTTGCATGATTTTGCTGTGGTGTTGAAATTGGTATATGTGTGCCATCGATTGCTCCAGCACAAATGGGAAACCCCCATTTCTCCTTATAATTAGCTATCACGCGAACAAGTTCATCTCCTTTAGCAACTGACATATACTTTGGCTCAAGCTTTCTCAACACTGCAGCGGCTACCTTGCGGATGCAAATGCAAACAAACCCCCTGAATGAACCAAACAGGTTAGAAAGCTTTCTATAACTTGCGGTTGAAGCAATAAAGTACAAGAACAGAGCCACTTATTTTCTACTTCAACAGCTTTCCTCATCTTTGTATCTTGCAATGTCAGTTCTGGTTTAAGTCCTTCAAAAAGAAATCGAAATGTCGCCCTGGACAAGCGAAAGTTTTCGTACCATTCTTGGTCTGAAAACTCGTTCAATGCAAGCTGAAACCAAGCACCTGTTCTAGGAAGCTGCCATATGGTTCTCTCGATAGTGCATTAACTCATTATGATGGCCATTAAAAGAACTGACCACTTAAAAATTTTCCTTCTCCGTTTTCTTCTAAAACGGTTCAATGTTTATGCGGGGTTTTCCCCTGAAAAGGGAGTCACTCTCCTCCTAAAAGGAAATGGTAAAAGAGTGGCTGCCATAATGGCAGTCATGTTTCTTTCCTCCGCGCACCGTTTTGTGTATTTACCACTGAGCGATAAGGAAAGATCCCGAAGGCTCAAATAAAAATCTGGTCCGGACACCGAAAGTCAGCAGTGTAAACAGTGCGCATTAGGGCTCTTTTCAGTCATAAGCCTAACCTGATTGTTATCCGTGTAAACGGTTTAAAAAAAATTGGTCCGGACCACTTTTTAATAGGTCCGGACCCATTTTTTTGTGTAGTGTAAATGGGGCTAAATGATCGCGTTCTTGAGTCTTAACTACATATTTCCCGCGCTTAGAACGCGGTGCTCGCCCCAGCCCTACTCTCGGTCCTCACGTTTTCCAGACCACCTCGTTG